TTGAGAACCTATTTGAGGAAATAATGACTGAAAATTTTCCTAACCTGATGAAGGAAAAGGACATACAGGAAGCGCAGTGAGTCCTAAGCAAGATGAACACAAAGAGGCCCACAGCAAGATACATCATAATTCAAATTCCAAGGATCAGGGGAGGGCGGGGTAAAAATAAATAAATAAATAAAATAAATAAATAAGTAAAATAAAATTCCAAGAATCAAAGACAAAGACAGAATCTTAAAAGCAGCAAGAGAAAGACAGTTAGCCTCCCATAAGACTGTCAGCTGATTTCTCAACAAAACATACCAGGCCAGAAGGAATTGGCATGAAATATTCAGTGATGAAAAGCACAGGCCTAATGAAGACTACCTTACCAGCAAGGCTATCATTTAAAAATTGAAGGTGAAATAAAGATATTTCCAGGCAACAAAACGCTAAAAGAGTTCATTACCACCAAACCAGTATTTTAAGAAATGTTGAAGGATCTTCATTAAAAAGAAGAAGAGGGAAAAAGAGGAACACAGTTATGAAGAATAAAATGCCAATAAATATGTACTTATCAAAGTAAATGGTTTAAATGCTCCAGCCAAAAGACAAAGGATAGCTGAATGGATAAGAGAATAAGACCTATTTACAGAAGGAGGCAAAAGTAGGTTTACAGTTGTTCATATAAAAAATGAAATAATTAATAAGTAATAATATAAAAATAAATAATAAAAATACAAGAATAAGCTAAAACCGGTTTGGCTTAGTGGATAGAGCATCGGCCTGCAGACTGAAAGGTCCCAGGTTCGATTCCGGTCAAGGGCATGTATCTTGGTTGTGGGCACATCCCCAGTAGGGGGTGTGCAAGAGGCAGCTGATCAATGATTCTCTCTTATCAATGTTTCTAACCCTGTATCCCTCTCTCTTCCTCTCTGTAAGAAATCAATAAAATATATTTTTAAGAAATACAAGAATAAAATCTATGTTTCACATACTCACAACTATATAAATACCCCACTGACATAAATGAATACACCTTCCAGACAGAAAATCAACAAGGAAAGAGCAGCCTTAAATGACACACAGATTAGATGGATTTCTTCAGAGCATTTCACCCCAATGCAGCAGAATATATTCTTTTCAAGTGCACATGGAACATTTTCTAGGATATACCACATGTTAGAACACAAAACAAGTCTCAATAAATTTAAGAAGATTGAAATCAAATACCAAGCATCTTCTCTGACCATGACAGTATGAAACTAGATATCAAGCACAAGAAAAAAATCTGAAAAACACACAAACACATTGAGGATAAATAACATGTTACTAAATAAAAAATGAGTTAACAATGAGATCAAGAAAGAAATAAAAAGATACCCAAACAAATTAAAAGGAGAACACAACAAGCCAAAATCTAAGGGACACAGAGAAAGTAGCCCTAAGAGGGAAATTCATAGCAATGCAGGCCTACTTCAAGAAACAAAATAAATCTCAAATCTAACCTTACACCTAAAGGAACTAGAAAAAGAACAACAACATGGCCAGTGTGGCTCAGTGGTTGAGTGTCAACCTGTGAACCAGAAGGTTATAGTTCAATTTCCAGTCAGGACACATGCTCGGGTTGTGGGCTTGATCCCTAGTAGGGGGCATGCAGGAGGCAGCCGATCAATGCTTCTCTCTTATCATTCTCTCATCAATGTTTCTTTCTCTCTCTCCCTTCTTCTCTGAAATCAATAAAAATATGTATTTTTAAAAAACAACAACAAACAAAGCCTAAAGTGGAAAGAAATAATAAAAATCAGAGCAAAAAAAAAATAGTCTTTAAAAAATACAGAAGATCACTGAACCAAGAAGAGCTGGTTCTTTGAAAAGAGAAAACTAGATCAATAAACTTTTAATCAAATTCAAAAAAAGAGAGAGAGGCGGGGGGACCCAAATGAATAAAATCAGAAATGAAAGAGGAGAAATAACAACTGACACCACAGAAATAGAAAAGACTATAAGAAAATGAACAACTATACGTCAACAAATGGGACCATCTGGAAACAATGGACAAATTCCTATAAACACACAATCTCTCAACACTGATTCAAGGAGAAACAGAAAATCTGAATGAACTAATGAAAATGAAGCTATAATCAAAATGCTCCCAACAAACAAAAGTCCTGGCCAAATGGCTTCACAGGTAAATTTTACCAAAGGTTCAAAGAATTAGCACCTGTTCTTCTCAAACTATTCCAAAAAATTTCAAGAAGCAGGAAGACTGCCCTGGCCTGTTGGCTCAGTTGACTGGAACACTGTCCAATACATCAAAACTTGGTAGGTTGGATTTCCAGACAGGTCACCAGGTTGCGAATCCCCTTTTATGGTGCATACAGAAGGCAACTGATTGATGTTTGTTTCTCACATCAATATCTCTCTCCCTCCCTCCCCTTCCCTTTTTTCCCTCTTTAGAATCAATGAAAAACATAATCTGGAGTAAGGAGTTATTTAAAAAGAAAAAGAGCCCAGCCAGCATGGTTCAGTGGTTGAACATGAACCAAAAGGTAATAGCTCGATTCCTCAGTCAGGACACATGCTCAGGTGGCAGGCTTGATCCCCAGTAGGACACACGCAGGAGGCAGTCAATCAACGATTCTCTCATCACCAAATCCACCTCTCTCTCCCTCTCCCTTCCTCTCTAAAAATAATAATAACAAAGAAAGAAAGAAAATGTCCGTACTATCCAAAGCAATGTATAGATTGAATGCAATTCCTATCAAAATACCAATGGCATATTTCATAGAATTAGATTCAATTTTAGTATGTATATGAACTGTGGAAGAGAGCACAACAATCCAATTAAAAATTGGGTAGAGGATCTGAATAGATATTTTTCCAAAGAAGACATAGTGATGGCCAACAGATACATGGAAAGGTATTCAATATCACTAATCATTAGGAAAATGCAAATCAAAACCACAATGAGATATCACCAAACACCTGTTAGAAAGACTCTCATCAAGAGAAGAAGAAATAATAAATGTTGGCAAGGATGTGAAGAAAAGAGAACTACTATGAACAATTGGTGAAATAAAAATTGGTGCAGCCACTATAGAAAACAACACAGAGGTTCTTCAAAAATTTTAAAATAGAACTGCTTTATGGCTCAGCAATTCCATTTCTGGGTATTTATCTAATGAAAACAAAAACACTAACTCAAAAAGATATATACACCCCATGTTCATTGTAGCATTATTTATAATAGCCAAGATATGGAAACAACCTTTTTGACATTTATCTCTCAGCTTCATCCGTTTCCTTAACTACAAATAAGGCTAATAATAAAAAAACATATCCTACTTAACTCACAAGGTTATTGTGAGAATTAAGATATGGAAGTACTTTCAAAATCATGAAAAGTTATAGAAAAACAAGCAATTAATGAAGGAGCTGGAGAAGATTCAGATACAGTATGTAGCAGAGTGAGTGGTTGTATGCTCAGACTTTGGAGCCAGAGTTCATTTATTTGAATCTAAGCTTTACCATTTGCTAACTATGTGATGACCTTAGGAAAGTTACTTAACTTTTCTGTGCAATGGTTTCTTCATCTATAAAATGAAACTAATAATAAATCCAATCTCAGAATTTTGTGAGAATTAAATTAATGCATTTTTAATACTTAAAATAGTGTTTGTCACAGAGCTGGTACTCAAATGTTGGATGTTAGAACTCTATAACAATTTTGTAAATGAAGCATCATACCCTCAGAAAGAGTTCAAATACTTAATGACAGTACAAAAAGAGCCTAGCAGGTGCTAGTATTCGCTCCCCTTTCAGAAATTTGAGTATATGCCTCCAGTTTTGAAAGTAAACATTTTACGTAGTTTCCATTTTCAACTAAAACTACAAGGCTTCCAAAATACTTTACTTTATGCAAATATTTAATGTTGTAAAGTAATAGCTACTTTATTTCATTTTAAAATACCCTTTACCTTTTTATTTTAAAATATCTCACTGATTTTTTAATTTTGTTAAAGTAATATGAATTTTGTCATCAATTTTTAATTTATTTTTCTTTGCTTCAACTATTCTCCTACAGAATTTGACTTCTAATTCAAAAGCTATTTGAGTAGCTTAAAAGAGGAAAAATGTAACAATGAACTGGCAAAAAAGACTGTGTAATATGTCAAAAGGAAACAGCACTAGTTCGAAATGAGTTATTTACTAAGAATAACTAAGAGGAAGTGATGAGGGATTAATTCTCACCCCCCAAAAAATATAATTTAATAATGCAGTACTCTAAACAATTCATGTGCTAGATTAGTTTATAGTCAGGTCTGCAGCTACAGATAGAGTTAGAGTCTGAAACAAAGTAGGCACCTCACTAAGAAATCAGAGCTGGGAGTCATCTTAAATTTCTAATATGCAACAGGAAATGCTGCTAGTGATTCCACAGGTGACACCCCTTTCCTTTTTTTTCTTTTTCTGAGTGTCAACAAACTGAAACAAAAATGCTCCTAAAGCCTGCTACTAGCTAAAAATTAAACATAAAAATTCCACTATTTATATTTAAAAAAAAACAGCTCTAACACTGAATTTGAGCAGATACCAAATAAGAATTATTTCTATCAACATTTACACAGTGCCTCCTTGTAATATAAATATTAACTGTATATAGCCCAATGAACATCTATAATCCAGTTATCATATTTTCAAGATTCTAATTACCTTAAATTTCAATATGAAGATTAATTATAAATTTCAATATATTAGGACTAGTACCTGGAACTCATCTTATCCACAAAGAGAAAATGAGAAATTAATTTTAAATGAGTTGAATAAATATCCAAGTAAAGAGTTGGCAACTATATTTTATTCTAATACAGTATTTCAGAGGTCAAATACAACATTACTTATAGCAAACATTCTGAAACTAGCTCAATGAATGAACGTCTATAACCCTCTAATCCGAGCATTTTTACAATATTCTCATCTGTACATGTCAGTGTTGAGAGGGGGTTTTCCACACACACCTCTCTGGCAATGTTACTCAGAGCTTCATCTTCTGCAGAAAATCGGTCTTTCACAGGTGTCCGTTTCCTTCCAGAACCAGGAGTCCCCATCTTGTCAGGACTGTCTTTTAACTCTGATAAATGATTTAGTCTGTTTTCAGCCCTGAAATAACAAAAATAGAATTATTTAGGATATTTCTCTTTGTGCAGTTTTAACACTCATTTAAACATTCACTTTTAACAAAAATAAAGTATATTTATGTATATACATATAAATTAAAATTAATCATCAAATACTTTTTCTCATTATCAAATTATTCTAACAATATTTAGGATATTTAATTTTATACTAATTACTGAACCTCTCAATACTTTTTACTATACTACCCCTGGCAACCTATGATATTAGCCTCAGAAAACTGCAGTCAACAGTCATTTTACTTGTTTAAAATTACTACAGCTATTTCTAAAATCTATTTCCTTTTCAGAGGCTAGAGGGAGAGTGGAGAGGAATTTCAGAAAAATCATTAAGCCTAAAGCTTTGAGAGAATACATTCAAAATATTTTAATACAGATCTTAAAGTTACAAAGGTAACTTGGCTTTTTAGTGTAATTTTGGAAACAATTCCAAGTAACCCTTTACTACATAAAGATCAAATGAAGGTTTATTTTATTGCAATTAACAATAACCAACATTGTCCATCAACAAATATCTGAGTCCCTGCTTTTGCCAGGTAGTATGAAAGTGCCAAATATAGTGACAAACAAAACTAAAGTAGGCCTATAATTAAGAATAAATTTATGGATCCATTATTGTTGTAAGTATTATAGGCCTATTTTTATAAGAGAAGAAAAATTAACCTTCAAGATTAAATAGCAAAGATGATTTTTTTAAAACCATCTAACTACCTTTCTAACACAAGGTACATATTTGAAATTAAAGATTCTCATGAGAGTTGTATCCCAATTTGTATGACCTTCCACTTCTTGAGAAATACAGCTCATTTAGCTAAACACCCATTAACTTAAAAATGTTTTTTTAACACAGTAAGTTTGTAAAACTTGGTTACACTGTGAGTCACAAAAGAATTCTCAAGTAAATTTATCCTAAAAGAATAAAATATATTAAATCTATCAGTGACTTTAATGTACTGGAATTTACTTGATTCAGGCAAAATAAAACAAAACCACTCCGTATCAATCTATCTACTCTTCCAAAAAAAAAGTATTCTCCAATGAAAATTCCAGCCATTCTCATTTTAATTTGGCATCATTTCTTATTTCCCATAGATAGCTTGTTATGTTTGTCAATCAGAATGAAGACTGATGATAGTTTATTACTCTGCCATAGAAAATATATCTGGATATAAGAAAAAAAAACCTCGAGAAACCAAGATGGCAGCATAGGTTAAACACCTAAACTACTGCCTTGCACAACAATTTTAAAACTACAACTAAAAGACAAAACGTACATCATCCGGAACCACAGGAAGGTTGGCTGAGTGAAAATTCTACAACTAAAAGGAAAGAGAAAAGCACACTGAAATTCAGAGGAAGTGCGGAAGTGTAGAGATACAGAGGAGCGCACGCAGAGAGGGCTGGCAATTAAGTATGTAGCTGGCTTTCTCAATTGGGAGGGAGACAAAAGCTCTCGACTGCTCTGAACTCCAGTTCTGGGTGAGACTCTGTGTTCCCACTCATTCAGGGAGAAACTGGACTGTCTGGCAGCAGGTGAAACTTGAGGGCAGCTTTCTCTCTGCAGCAATTACCGCGGGTCACTGGAACCCAGGGGCCTCTTAGGGCAGGGCTGATGGAAAGCTACTGCTGTCTGCCCCACCCTGAGACTCTGCCCTATCTAAGCTGAGCACAGAGGCTTTTGCAAGTCTTGTCTCATAAAGGTGTCTCCAGCACAGAAGTTCTTCCTGCATAGACACAGCTGATCCTCACAGCCAATGGCCTGGAGGTCAATTCTTCCCAGTAATACCAACAATCAGACTTAACTACAACAGGACTGTGCACACAGCCCACAAAGGAGTGCACCAAGAGTGTCCACCTTAGGTAAGTGAGGAGGCTGAGCCACTGGGCCCTACAGGACACCTAGCAAACAAAGCTACTCTATCAATTCAGGGAAGCAGCCAAAATGCGGAGACAACGAAACAGGTCACAAATGAAAGGAATGGAGGAAAGCAAACGACTGGATATAGAGTTCAAAACCACGGTTATAAGGCTTTACAAGAACTTTCTAGAAAAGGCTGATAAATTTAGTGAGACCCTTGAGGATAGGAAAAAGGACCAACTAGAAATTAAGCATACATTAATTGAAATAAAAAATAATATACCGAGATCCAACAGCAGACTACAGGATCACAAGAATAAAGTCAAATCATTGAAATACAAAGAAGCAAAAAACACCCAACCGGAAAAGCAAAAAGCAAATAGAATCCAAAAATATGAGGATAGTATAAGGAGCCTCGAGGACAACTTCAAGAGTGCCAACATCCGAATTATTGGGGTGCCAGAAAAAGAGTGCAAGATACTGAAAACCTATTTGAAGAGATAATGACAGAAAACTTCCCCCACCTGGTGAAAGAAATAGACTTACAAGTCCAGGAAGCGCACAGAACCCCAAACAAGAGGAATCCAAAGAGGACCACACCAAGACACATCTTAATTAAAATTCCAAGAGCAAAAGACAGAGAATATTAAAAGCAGCAAGAGCCGAAACCGGTTTGGCTCAGTGGTAGAGGGTCGGTCTGCGGACTGAGGGGTCCCAGGTTCGATTCCGGTCAGGGGAATGTATATTGGTTGCAGGCACATCCCCTGTAGGGGGTGTGCAAGAGGCAACTGGTCGATGTTTCTCTCTCATCGATGTTTCTAGCTCTCTATCCCTCTCTCCTCCTCTCTGTAAAAAATCAATAAAAAATATATTAAAAAAAAAAAAAAAGCAGCAAGAGAAAAACAGTTACCTACATGGGAGCACACATACAGATTGTTGGCTGATTTCTCAATAGAAACTATGCAGGCCAGAAGGGAGTGGCAAGAAATATTCAAAGTGATGAATAGCAAGAACCTACAACCAAGATTACTCTACCCAGCAAAGCTATCATTCATAATTGAAGACAGATAAAGAGCTTCACAGATAAGAAAAAGCTAAAGGAGTTTATCACCACAAAACCAGTATTATATGACATGCTAAAAAGTATTCTTTAAGAAGAGGAAGAAGAAGAAAAAGGTAAAGATAAAAATTATGAACAAATACATATCTATCAACAAGTGAATCTGAAAATCAAGTGAATAAAAAATCTGATGAACAGAATAAATGGGTGAATATAATAGAATCAGAAACATAGAAAGGGAGTGGACTAACAATTCTCAGGGGGAAAGAGGTATGGAGGGTGTGGGAAGAGACTGGACAAAAATTGTACACCTATGAATGAGGACAGTATGGGGGGTAAGGGCAGAGAGTGGGGTGGGAACCAGGTGGAGGGGAACTATGGGGGGTAAAAAGAGGAACAATTGTAATAATCTGAACAATAAAGATTTATTTAGAAAATAAAAATAAAAGGGAGGTCAGGAATAAAAAATAAATAAATGAAATAAAATAAATTTGTTATGTAAGTTTAATGGAAAAAATGAGAAAAGAACTCATTTAAATGAAAACAAACAAAACAATGAATGTATAAAAGTAGCAGCTAATAAATCTGAGCTACTAATCAGGACAATGTCTGAAAAACACAGAACTTTCTCATTAGTCTCCCATACTCCTCACCCTCAGCATAATTTTAAAGATCATCCATCACTTACTTGATAGTAATGTGTACAAATATTAATCACCTACTGAGAAAAAAAGCAGAAGGCAATACAAAGTTCCCTTTCAGACTAGAATGACAATTTAGCTAACATACTGTGGGGTATCATCCAATTATTGTCCTTCAGCCAGCTTTCCAAGGACACATTGAAAGACATTTCACAGAAGCATGAGACAAAAACATAGGCATTTTCTAATTCTAGACACACAAAATAATTACAGAAGAAAAAAGATGTTGCTGAAAGCATGTGCAACAGTGGTTTCATTAGGAGGATAGGATTATGGCTGGGTTTTTTTTTTTTTTTTTTTTCCTTGATTCTCTAAAATTTCAATAGCACTGAAGAAAGATACATGCATTTTTAAAAAACTAAAACATTCAAGGCTCAAAGAATAAACTTTCCTCAAAAGAGATCACAACCAAATTAGGCAAAATATACTACACAGCTAAGGTACACTACCTGAAGCCAACGCTGGTGGTACACTTTTGAATACATTTCTTTCTCCTCTTTCCCCAGAATCCATTTTGCTTCTTTCTTAACACTGCCTTAGACTTTAGACCTGCCAGGATATTCCTAGCACACAGATTTACATAAAGAATTATCTTGGTCCTGGCTGGGTAGCTCAGTTGTTCAGAGCATGGTCCTGATATGCCAAGGATTCAGGTTTGATCCCACATCAGGGAACATACAAGAATTAATAAATGAATACATATCCAGAGAGAGAGAGAGAGAGAGAGAGAGAGAGAGAGAGAGAGAGAGAGAGAGAAACAAAAAAGATTTATTTAGAAAATAGACTGTTTCAACAAGCTTCAGGCTAACTAGTCCGGAGAGTAAGATGACAAAAAGAAGGGACAGCGGCAGAGGATAAATAGGAAATGGGAACAAGTTCTTGCTTGTCTTCCTTGTCCTAGCTACAGAGGGTATCTAGGTTTTTATGTGATTGGCCAGGTCCTGTCACCTTTTTCAACTGCCTAAGAGGCAGACCAACCATTATCTATTTAATAAAACAATCTAGCCGAAACCGGTTTGGCTTAGTGGTAGAGCGTCGGTCTGCGGACTGAAAGATCCTGGGTTCGATTCCGGTCAAGGGCATGTACATTGATTGCGGGCACATCCCCGGTAGGGGGTGTGCAAGAGGCAGCTGGTTGATGTTTCTCTCTGGTCGACATTCCTGGCTCTCTATCCCTCTCTCCTCCTCTCTGTAAAAAATCAAAAAAAAAAAAAAATTTAATAAAACAATCTAGTGCTGCCAGCCGGTGTGGCTCCATGGTTGAGCTATAAACCAGAAGGTCATGGTTCGATTC